TGTTCTTCAGACATTTTAGAGACATTTCATCGATTTGTGCCATCTTTGAGTTTTTGCATATTTTCATGCAATTTTCCTCCTTTTTGTTTATTGTTGTTTTGTGTGTCTGCAGCTGTTCTGTTTGCAGAGATGTAAAACAACCACAGAGATGCAGGTAGACTGTAATCATGTGCAGGTGTCTTTCAGTCGCAGTGTAGGATGGTGGGATGCTTCCACTCACGTGGGCTCTTTGTCCTGAGATGAATGGTTTGCTGTGGATTGTGGGCTGAGTGACAAACGTCTTCTTGTCCCTCTCGTTGTCCCTCAGGTGTGGTTTCAGAACGCTCGGGCCAAACTCCGCCGTTCCCTTCTCTCCGATGACTCTCAGGTCAACTCGCCCTCTGCTCTTCCGAGAGCTGCCACCATGGCAACCAGTCCCTCATCCCCGACCTGCTCCCCGCCGGACCGATCGCAGCCTTTTCCCACCAGCACCATCGACCAGCTGCAGCTGTCCCTGCTGACCTCCCCGCTCAGTGAGCAGGTCATCAGCCACCCCTCCCAGGAGCTGCTGCAAAGCCCCGACTTCTTCCCGGACTACGACTCCCAGAGCGCACCGGGGTGCATGTCCACCCTGGAGGTCCACGGTGACTTTGGGGAGGCAGGAGGTGGAGAAGTTAGCGCTGATGCTTTTGGTCCACATTACTGTTAGTCAGTGACAAATACTTACATGTAGACGGAGTTCAAACTGTGACGAGCTGTTGTGAGGTTAATAATAAATATATTGTTAAAATCCAGCGTTCATGTTTTTCCTGTGACGTGTCGAGTTGTTTGTCTGTTTATCATGAACCTAAAAGCTTGTTGAGTTTCATGCAGGAACTATGTTCTTGTAGCTGCTCTCACTGACGAGTGGTGGGAACAGGACACCAACATGAGACATTATAACACGATGACCTCGCCTGTATCATCTGAAACTGCATATTTTATTTTTACCGTTCGTTGGCGTCACATCCTGATCACATTCACTGTTTTTCTAATGAACGATCGACTTCCTCGTGTTCCTCGAACTACTTAACGAGTGCATGTGATGGAAACAGTGACAGACTTTTCTTTCAATCATTAAAAGGCCGGAGGTGAAACATTTTTCTCAGAAATCAATTCTCAGAAGATCTGTGGTCACATAATTGGCAGTAATTTGACTCAGAGCGCAGCGTCATTTGGTCTGAGGTCTGGATCCGTCACAGAGACGGTTCCTCATCATGAATGACATTCTTTCAGGTGTGTCTGCGTTTCCCCAGCGAGCTGACATTCATAACGAGCGGCGATAAAAGGAAGGAACCCCTCGCCGTCCTCAGAAATGTCCTAATGAGTCACCCTCAACAATCAAACGGCGATAATTGCGATGACTCGCTGGGCCTCTGTGATGAAGTGGGTCATCGTTTCTCAGAAGAAAGTATGAAGGTTATCGTGGTCGGCGCTCGCCTTCTCATGCGTCACAGGGCCGAGTGACCAATGGGTGACGGCGGGGCGGCAGAGGAGAGCGGGCAGTTTTTAAAAAGGTCAGATGTGGAGATTCTTCGAGGAGATAGAGCAGGTCATCGCACA